ATAGAACGCAATTCGCGCAAACAGTTGTGATCCTTTAGTTCATCCTTCGGTATGACAAAGCCGCAACCTTTTTCGCATGGCAATGGACGTTTGGGGTTATGTTCACATTCTTCCAAATGTGAATTGAGTGCGTCCAGCTTGAGTACTAGGGTGCATCCATATGGTGCGTTGTCACAGGTAATGGAAAGTCTAGAGGAATGTGCAAAATGCATATGGAAATTTCATAAGTTACATATATGCATGTATACGATTTTACTTTCGGTTGGGCGTCGCCATACTTACCGTGAAAGTAGATTGCGAAGTATGCGCGGCACAGCGCGCAGATTTGCAGTGTTTAATGTGTTGCGGTCGACTGGGCAGGTGGGCTGGCGCGTGAGCCATTCATTGATGCACGCACGGCAAAAGGCGTGTTCACACATTGCCGCCTATGAAGATAAATGAAAAGACAATCAATGTAATAAATCTTAGCCGCATTCTTAGCTAGTAGTGTAATTCATGCTTTATGAAATTGCTTAACTCCCTCAAGTAATGGCTTCGGTTAGCGGTTACTGACCTGTAGCGGCTCCTCCAGCACGCCGGAACATATGGGGCAAGTGAGTTCTTCGTCGACTTCGCCCTGAAAGCGATGCAAATCGTAGCCCATTTCTTTTAATCGTTATAGGCAGCCAATGCTGCTAAAACGTCGACACTCAGTGATTGCTTCAAATTTTGTGCAACACCACTGTTGCTTGGAAAGCCGAAAATGTTATTTTCGCAACTTTTTCTTCTTTTGCCCACGAATACCCAATTTCTATGCTTTTTTTTAACCCGTGCCCTTTCAATTTATTTCTGAACACTAGTTTTCCTTTTGTATACTCATAAAATTTATATTTTATACACACGCCGTTTTCTTTAATTAATTATGCACTTTCGGCTGGATTATTGATATTTTCACCAATATTTTTATTGTTTGAACGACAAACAAAACCAAGCTAAAATTCCGAAAAAAATCACGAACAAGGAAGCCAAAGTGAAAATGGCAATAAAATAGGGAACTAAAAATGAGAAAATAATTTGACAGCTGTCAAAGCCATGCATGTTGCCATGTCGAAAAAGTTAAACAAACAACTTTTCTTAATTTTTAGAAAAAATTTAGGTATGCAGTTTTATGATTTTTAATATTTTTCTTTCTGGTAGTTTCTTCCACATAACACCATACTATTTTCCCGTCCAATTGATTCTTCTTATAAAGAATTAGGAAGTAACTTTAAATTACAAAAAAAAACACCATACTAAAAACTAAAGTGTGCTCGAAATGTCAGCAAAAAAAATTAAACACCTAAAAAGTGCACTTCATTATAAAAATTTCCTAAAAAAAAGATTAATCTGGAGCATTTTTTTATCTACAACTTCAAATCGATATAATACAAGTAATTTTTAAGCAAAAAACAAAATCGATTTCGATTCTCATACAAAAATTTAAGATTATCGTTAATTTCTTCATGACCAATGATCGGATTTAAACCAAATTAGTATGGTACCACCTGTGAGGTAACCCCTTTCCTTTAAAAAAATTATAGAAATCGGTTAACGTGGTCCAAAGTTATGCGGCTACATACATAAAAAAAAAAATATTCTGACGAATTGATAACGTTACAAATCCATCGGTGTTTATTTATACTTTAACCCCCCAGGTCCCCCCCTAAAATAAATGCAAATGGTTGCATTCATCCCCATTACTTTTTGAGCGTTGCACTTTATAATCTATAAAGCGCAATTGATTTCGTAATTGAGGTAAGCAATTTCAAAATTTATAAAAAAGTATTTATTAATGTAAAGCCTTGACTATCGTATTCTATTATACTAAGCACATTTAACAATATATTCTACATTTCTGTTAAGCATTCTGTTATACATATAAAAAATATATTCAGAAAATCTTTTACAATAAAAGAACTTAAAGGTATTCACATTGCATACTGAAACGAATTCGATTAACAATTTTCCTGTACTTAGTTCCAACTAAGTGCATAAGTTAAGAAGTTATTGCGAAAAGAATAGGAAAGAAAAATAGTATTGGATATGAAAATTTTTGCAAATTTCAATTACAAATGCGCGTGGCAAAAGATATTGGAACGGGTGTTTTTAGTTTTTATGGAATTGAAGGAAGGTGGAAGGAAATATGATTGTTGTGTCACACATTTTTCCTATTCTATTGGACGTTTATTTATTTTTAATATTGATTGCACGTTTAGTTATACGTCCAAGGAAAATACCCATTAAGAAGAACATTCCAATGGAAAATATTAAAACAATAAAGAAGAATCTTTTCGCTGGTGACGCGACAACTTGACTAACGAGCTCTTCCATATTTTCCGGAGGTTGAGCGAGCACCTGTAATTTCGTAATGTAATAATTTAAAATGTACAAAAAAAAATTATTACTTTTACCGTATCTGCATTGCGGAACATTTCTATACGTTTCTGTAACTTCATACGACAATCCTGGTCCATGGCCTTTGACTGGTCTTTCAGTAAGACTTGTAAACATTTTAATTCTGCAATAGCAATGCGTTAGGAAAATATACAAAACGATCTACAGTATATCATTCATTTGCTTGTAAACTTACTTCGCCCATTTCCACTTTGCACATTCGAACAATAACGTAGCAAATCTACAGTGCACGCCTCCTGCAGTATAGGATCTACGTGAATGTCGGCCTTGGCTTCAGCTATCAAGGTAGCAACTTCAACGCGACAATCACGATTTATAATTTTGTGATTAAGGAAAGCCGTTTTTAAACATTCCTCAACCATGCCATGCTCCCGGCTTTGTTGATTCGCCTTGCAAAGTACTTCTATTTCAGATTTGCAGAAGTTCTGCAGCAGTGGGTTGAGCTTGTAGTTTAAGGCTTGTTCCTGCAGTATTTTGATCATTTCTTGCGTGCAATCATAATCTAAACGGGATTCGCGGAATTTGTCTTTTAAGCATTGTATGACCTAAAATACATACGATGTGAAGCGAAATAATAATTATAACAATGCAGTGTTTATCAACTGCTAAAATTTACCATGCCGTTCAACTCCTCATTCGGCTGTGCCGTTGCCACAATATGCGAGCAATAACGATCGATATTTTTCCCGCACGCCAGCTGCAGCGACGGATTGAATCGATAGTCGGTATTTTGCTCAATCATGCGATTTACGACGACTAAATGACA